TTTAATCTATTTAATTTATTTTTCTTATTTAATTTAACTTGAATTAAACTAACCTCAACATTGTTATGTAATGGCATTATTACTTATTAGCATAACTATTCACCAAGTAAAGTATATTATCATAACTATCCACCAAGTAAAGTATATTTACATACAAACTACCATACAGTGTAGACTAAAAGACATCCTTTATAATACTCTTTATGATTTTCGGTATTAAAGACAGCACTTAGAATATATAAATATTTATTGCAACATTCATATAGTGCAACACATACCTCTATATTGATGAACTATCTGTCAAAATTAAAGATAGACAAGGTAATTACTTATTGCATGACAATTAAATTACACTACATAAACAGAAGGAAATGTACCTGATCCAAAGTGAATCCTACATACAGCGTGATCAATTATAACTAATATAAATAATTTTAGTATTAATTGATCACATCATGTGTGGGATTCACTTTGGATCAGGTACGTTCCCTCCTGTTCACTATATATGAGACAATTTAAATATGTTGTTAGTTTTAAGTATATACTGTATTATTAGTAAATTGTCACATAGTGTGATTTAATTTTTTATATAATAAGTAATTATGTACCAGTATGTATATATGTACATGTCTTTTTCATCTCTAACTGGAATGTATAATTTAAAATATTTGTGCCTTCTTGTAACTATTAATAGTGTAGAATACTATAGAGTGAATCTACAAATTATTTTAATGACGCAAGACTTAAGGATATACTTTTTTGCTAAAAAGTAAACTATATTATATTCCTTTAAAATTACTTTTGCAAATTATCAAAGCTATTATTTGAGTATGAAAATTATACTATGAAAATTCATATAATACTGAATAGCATCATCTTTCTAAGCACCAATTACATAAATGCAAATAAAACATACTATGAGTCTAATAAATTAGACATATTATGTTAAAAAAAAAAAAAAAAAAAAAAAAAAACAAAAGATTATAAAAGGATGATTAGAATAGAATTAGCTTCTAAAGTTTCGTATCATAGTAGCAAAAAGAAAAAAAATGTCTAACCTTCAGCTTGAAATCCTTTATGACCATAGCCATGGTGAATCTAATATGAAAAACCATTTAAATTGGAATTGCAAATGGCATAATATTATTTGGTCAAATGAGTCCAATTTTAAGTATACTCTCAATGAAAAATTTGATAAATTGCGCCTGGGTTCTACCATAAATCATAACTCTAGTCTCATGTTCTGGGCTTGCTTTTCATGACATGAACTAGGATCGATAGTTCCTATTCGTGACAATGTAAATGGTGAAGTTTATGCTAAACTTATAGTAAACCACACTATTCTGCTATACGATGTCTAGTTTCTGATGAGCAAGGTATTTTTCAGCAAGACGGTGCTACCCCTCATAAATATTGAAAAGTTAAAGAAGTTCTTGAACAAGCTGGTATTCCTGTTCTCTCTTGGCTTGCCCAAAGTTTGGATATGAGTCCAATGGAACTCATGTGACAAGAAGTTGAAAGATGGTTGCATAATTCTTTGGATAAATCTACAAATATTGATAATTTGAAGAAAAAGGTCATAGCAGCATGGTATTTAATTCCATCCCAATATTATTATAGGGTGGTGCATAGGTGGTTCATCAATAAAAACATGATATGAAACTAAAGGCAGATTTTTGTGATCATGTAGTTTTGCAATCATGTAGCTTTAAGTTCTGCGATTATATAGCAACAAT